TATTTATTTAGCACAACCACCCCTGTGTTATGCTTAGTTCTTGATTTTTTTAATTGAAAAGTATTTTTCATCTAATATACTCTGATTAAGCTTTTCCCCTCCCCTAACACCTCCCAGATCTTCCTTTCCTCATCCACCCAACTCTATTCCCCCCATGTGTGTGTTGTAAACATATAAACAAAACATTATTGCTCTGTGTATGTGTGCACATGTACATGTCACAGTGTGTGTTTGTTTGTTTTTCCTCTTTTTGAAGTCTGCCTCCCAGCTCCCAAATAAATCAACATGGAGGCTTATTCTTAATCATAAATGCCCAGCCTTAGCTTGGCTTGTTTCTTGCCAGTTTTTCTTATCTTAAATTATCCCATCTATCTTTGGTTTTGGGGCTTTTATCTTTCTCTATTCCTATATACCTCTTCTTTCCTTCTTACTCTGTGTCTGGCTATGTAGGTGGGTAGCTAGTGGCTGGGTGGCTGGGTGGATGGCCCCTGAAGTCCTCCTCCTTTCTCTCTTGTTCCTTGGTCTTTCTTCTTTTCCCAGATTTCTCCCTCTATTTCTTATCTTTGCCTGCCAGCCCCACCTATCCTTTTTTCCTGCCTGGCTATTGGCCGTTCAGCTCTTTATTAGACCATCAGGTGTTTTAGACAGGCACAGTAACACAGCTTCACAGAGTTAAACAAATGCAACATAAAAGAATGCAACACATCTTTGCATCATTAAATAAGTGTTCCACAGCATAAACAAATGTAACACATCTTAAAATAATATTCTATAACAAGTGTGTATGGAAGTCAGAAGATAACTTTTAAACATTGGTTCTTTCCTTCAACTGTGTGGGTCTTGGGGATTGAACTCAGGTCTTTAGGCTTGGTAGCAAGTGCCTCACCCTCTGAGCCGCCTCACCAGGCATGCAATGGTTTTTAAAATGATTTTCATGTTGTATCATTGTTTTCATGCTCCCCTGATTGGTTGCTTTTTAAATTACATGAGCTTGCCGGATGGTGGTGGTGGTGGTGGTGGTGGTGGTGGTGGTGGTGGTGGTGGTGGTGGCAGCGGCGGCTGCGGCTGCGGCGCACGCCTTTAATCCCAGCACTTGGGAGGCAGAGCCAGGCGGATCTCTGTGAGTTCGAGGCCAGCCTGGGCTACCAAGTGAGTCCCAGGAAAGGCGCAAAGCTACACAGAGAAACCCTGTCTCGAAAAACCAAAAACAAACAAACAAACAAACAAATTACATGAGCTTGACAAGAATTTGTTCTTTGCCATTTTGCCTCATTTCACTGCAGATCTTGGCTCTGTACCTCCCCCTCCCCCTTGCAGGGTTTCTTGCCCCTGTCTCCTCTCTGAAGACCTCTAGTTCAGAGCCAGATAGAGTGCTTTCAGAGCTTTGGTCCTCACAGGATTGCTGGAGATGCTGGGTTCTAATCCTGCCTTGTAGAGCTGTTTATTTTCCTTCCTAACTGGCTGTGGAATCTAGCCAGAGGTGGACAGAAGCGTTTCCTACCCCCTCTGTAAAGAGGGAGCTGCACTCCATCCCTGACTCTGTTCCCCAGCCTTACACAGAACATTCTCGTTACCGTGAGACTTCTCTAACTGTCTCCAAGTCCATCATCCTGGGACTGTCAGGCCATTCTTCAGTTCTGCTCTGGCACATGAATATCTTGTAGTTTCCTTTTGCTTTTATGTTGTGAGCACATAATTAAAGTGACTCTACCATGTGTCTGCACCGATGCAGGAGAGGGACTCAAAGCATGTCCCTTGACGGAGGTCAGTCTTCACGACTGTCCCCTTTCTTATCACCATTTGACAGGACCACCTCCCCAAACCTCCTCACAGGCGAGAGTTGCCCGGTTATCTTGGCTTTACAAAGGGCTATGATTAGGAAATCAGAATGCTTAGCAATTAAAGGCAGAAGCTGAGCCAGACTTCTAGAGTTCAAATCCCTGATCTCCTGCTTAGCCCTGTAAACTTGGGCCAAGCTATTTAATGCTTTAAGCCATAATAGCCTCTTCTGAAAAACATACTAATTGTGTAAACATCCTAAGATTATCCTAAAGATTAAATGAAATGACCATGTCAAAACACACTCCCCGCAGGGGCTGGCACACAGTCAGCCCTCAATAAGTACCTGCCATGATTACGGTGGTTGTCCCTGTTGGATTAGAATCAGATGCCCAACTTCAGAAAATTATTATTTTGTTGAAAGGCCTGAGCAGTGTACGAAGCAGAAGAGAGAACGGCCAAGAAATTTCTTAATCATGGGATTTCCAGTCACTTTTAGGTCTTGATGGCTGGGTCCCATAACAAATCCGTGCATTGTTTTAGTGGAATAGATGGTGAGAAAATGGAAGCCTAGGATTGCTGTGCACACTTGGCCACAGGTACGTGAAAAGTCAAAGACAGGTGATAATCTCTGGGACAGACACCAAAAATGAAACTGTGTCTTGAACAGAGAGTAGGAAACTGCCCTGAGGAAATTCTGGTTCCTCCATGGGAGTCAGTTTCCAGGAGCTCTGGAACTGTCAAAGCAGCATGGGCATTGTCCAAAATGGCCATCGTTTTCGTTGGCTTTGATTTTGGTGTTTTGAGACAGGGTTTTTCGAGGTAGTTCTGGGTATAACCTGGTCCTCACTATGGAGCCCAGGCTGGCCTTGAACTCAAAATAACCCTGCCTCAGATACAGAGTCCTGGCATTACAGGGCCACCATGTGTGGTTAATGGCCATTATTTTATGCTCTGAAGCCCATTGGATGGTATTAGAGATGTTCCTCAGTGGGCGGTGGGGTTGCATCCTTACAAACCCATTACACGCTGAGGACGTCCTAGGTCAGGTGAGTCAGAGGGTAAAATACTTGCTGTGGCAAGCATGAGGATCTGAGTTCAGATCCCCAGCACATAAAAAGCCCGGCTTGACAGTGTGAGCCTGTAACTCTAGTCCAGGGGAGGAGGAGCCAGGAGGACCCTAGGGGCTTGCTGACCATCTTATGTAGCTGATTGGTGAGCTCCACTCCATTGAAGGGCCCTGTCTCAAAACATAAGGTGGAGAGCAATAGAGTAAAGAATGCACACACACACCTGCAGGTACTTGTTCACATGCACACAAAACAAAAAAAGAAAAACTCCCAAGCCAAAAGCATACAACCGCACCTAACGTACCCAGTCTCCCAGCTCAGCCCAGCCCGGGCTGCACCTGTTCCGAACACTGGTGGGAACCGGGAACCCACAGCGAGGCAAAGCATCTACAGTCATTGCCAGTCTGCAAGCAATAAAGTGCTGAGTAGAGCATGTGATGCACTGACTTCTTTAGGGCCCATGTAATACAGAAGAGCTGCAGGGCTACACCTTGACGTGAGCGTGAAGTCAAAGCGAATCGCGGTCCTCCGCGGGCAGGGTGAGTAAGAACTCTTCCTCGTCTTTGGTGACAAGTCTGTAGACGGTCGTGTGTGAGTGAGCTGTACAGTCCTGTTGTTTCAACACTCAGTTCCTAGCTGCCTGCTGTTTGGGAGCGTTAGAGGGGGTGGCCTTGGAGGAGTGTGTTACTGGGAGTGGGCTTTGAGGTTTTAAAAGCCCCCAGCCATCCCCAATACACTCTCGGTTACCTGTGTGTGGCTTAAGATATGATGAGTTCTCAGCTATTGCCGCCCGCTGCCTCCCCTCTGCCCTCACAGACTCCAGTGCTCTCAAACTGTAAGCTCAGAACAAACTCTCTCTTCTGTAAGTTGCCTTGATCATGGTGTCTTATCACAGCAGCAGGAAAATAGCTAATGGTTCTCTTTGTAACAAGTTTGTAGACCAAAAAGAATTTGCCGAAATGTATACTTTTACTGTTCCCCAAACAGTAAAAAAAATAAATAAAGTCTGAATTTTTTTATTTGTTTGGACAAGAAATTTACGAACTTCGGGTTTATGTTTTCTGTAATTTCATGAAGCTCTTCATAGAAATCAGTAAAATTTGAGATTCCATTCATAATTAAATATCCCAAGAGTTAGGGAGACAGTGGCAGAACAGCACACTTGAAAGTTTTTCTCTGTTTGGACACTAGAGAAAGGCAAGGTTGGTCTGGAGAGATGAGTCGGGTGGGGTGTTTACTGTGCTCACAGAGGACGCTGGTTCAGCTCCCAGGACCCACAGGACAGCTACAAGCCCCTGTGACTCCAGTTCCAGGGTAGCTGACACCCTCCTCTTGCCTCAGCAGGCTCCTGTACACATGGGATGCACACGAAGTAGCGTGCGCGCGCGCGCGCGCGCGCGCGCGCGCACACACACACACACACACACACACACACACTAAACTATGTAGTTTTTTAAAGTGGAAGCTCATCCTTCAACAAATCTCCCCATTTTTGTTCACATATTAGCTGTGAGCTCACACCTGGGGAATGTAACTTTGCTTAGACTACTGGACAACGGAAAGATTGATTGTATGTGGTGTAACTGGGGTGTGGCAACGGCCATTTCTGACTTAAACAGTCATCAGTAGATACAACTTTCGTTCGGATAGACTCAGAAGTACTTAACTTACTCAGCTGAGCATGAATCAGTGGCTGTGGGCAGTTTGTGGAAGGGACGACTCAGAAGACGATAGTGTGCCTGCCTTCTCCTACACCACAGTAGCTCTCCATGAATTTTGTGCCAGCCGGAAGTAATCCACCAACCCCGGGGGATGCTAAATGTAACATGGGCACACTGGAATAAAGAAGAGAACTGGTTGCTGAGCCAGTTTGAGTGGTCAGGAAGCTGCTTGCTACTCACAGGAAGCCCACGCTGCTGTTGGAGAAAGTGGTGCAATAGTGTGTGAGGGGACCAAGGGGGACCAGACGCCTTGGGAGTTGCACAAGGGGGAACTTACCCATATACAACTTTGAATATAGCAGAAGATTCACCATATACAGAAAAGAATTTATCTTCTATTTTGACAGTAACCCTCTGGATTTACCCAGAAAAAAAATTGATACACATTATTTTGACATCATAGTTTCAGACCCTCCTCATCTTTCTCCAGATTGTCTCTGGAAGCCACCCGAAACCATCAAGTTCCTGCCTAACTCAGGGCAAAATTCTGCTGTGCACAGGAGGAGGCGTCACAGAAGAGCAGGAAAATTCTGCTGTGCACAGGAGCCTTCATGGAAGAGCAGGCAGCTCTGTTCCGGGGTACAAAGGTATGTGTAGTGGGTAGCTGTTCTTGCTATGACCTTGAAGCTCTGGCCCCTAGTGAGTTAGCAGGTAGCTGTTACATTTACCTATGACCTTGAAGTGCATGCCCCTGGGGCGTGGCTACCAGGGATCCTTAAGGCCTGGGATGCACATATGCGGCCATCTCTTTGCTCCCTCCTGGTTCTGGGTGTTGGGACTGACCAGGCGGATCTTGGAAGAAGATCAGCATGAGACATATCTCTGCTTTTCCTGACCCCTCGACAAATACCCATGTTAGAGTGAGTTACCCCCAATAAATTCCCTTGCTCATTAAACAGACTCCGTGGATTTCTCACATTAGATATGCAAATTTACTCCAGAACACACCTTACACTTGGCCAGTGAGTTTCACTGTTACTTGTACTCGACCACGACACTCTGGACTGTGGAAGACAAATGCACATGGCAACCGTTACAGCCAAGGACATGGTTACATGTCCACTTCCCTTTTTTTTATTTTCTAGCCATTGGAAAGTTATAACCTCCTCCCTCTCTATTCCCCAATTTTTCAAATGAAATTAAATTCCATTATTGTTTCCATTTAAAATAAAAAAGTACTTAGCTGAGTCTTCCCAGAACTGGGGTTTAACCTCGGCATGTGACTTCACTACCCTACTCTGCCATGCTCAAGTATTAAAAAAAAAAATTACATTCAATGTTGTTTTAATGAATGTATCTGTGCCCGCCAGTCATGTCAGCTTGACACACAAACTAGAGTTATCTCAATGGACAGGACCTTAACTGAGGAAATGTCTCCACAAGATCGAGCTGGAAGGCATTTTCCTAATTAGTTATTGATGGGGGAGACTCAGCCCATTGTGGACGGGGGCAGGGGCGGGCGTGCCATCCCTGGGCTGGTGGTCCTGGGTTCTATTAGCTAGCAAATAAAAGAATAGGTTTCATTATGCTGTTTTCACACATATGTATCAATGTACTTTTTGCTTTTTTTTTTTTAAACTTACTTTTAAAAAATATTTTATTTTGATGGTATGAGTGTTTGGCTTCATGTCTGTGTTTAGTGTATGAGGAAGACAGAATAGAATAGCTGATCCCAAGGAACTGGAGTTACATACGGTTGTGAGCCACCATATGGGCACTGGGAACTTGGCCCAGGTCCTCTGGAAGGGCAGCAAGTGCTCTCAACCGCTGAGCCATCTCTCCAGCCCCTGTACTTTATTCTTATTTTCCCTCTCAACAACCTTGCCTCTTCCTTCTCTTTCCCTCTACCTACCCTTCTTATCCCCCATAACAGAACGCCTTCTGTATCACATCCTATCATATATCCATATTCATATGTATATATACATTCCTGCAGTTAAATTTAGATTCTGTATATGAGAGAAACACCTAGTGTTGTGATCATTCTATGTTTTATTATCTAAGCTCCTAGAAAACACAGCCACATTGTTCCACATTGTTCACCAGGTTAAAAGCTAGACAATTACTGTCCCCATCCAAACATGCAGAACTACAGTTCACGGTCAAAGTCATATCGCTGACGCCCATGACCGCGGTATGCTCAAGTTGCACATTTATGGACATTGCCTGGGTTGATGCAAAGGGATGAGTACCTCAACCTGCACAGATTGGGGTTTGACCTGACCAGGGCAACAACAGAATGGAGAGGACAGACACACAGACAGATGTGTACAGAACAGCTGGGATCTGGCGGGCTGTGCACTGTGATGGAGATACACCAACACAGACCAGAAACCCGGGGCATTTATTTTAAGCATCTGAATGGAGCAGGTGGGTTGAACCAGGATACGGTTAGCTCATCACAGTGGGAGGTCTCTCTAGGGGAGCAGTCAGCCTCGGGTTCTCATACTCTGGGAGGAGGAAGCTGTGGTTGATGGATTCTGCACACACTGTCAGAATCTACACTTGATGTAGCAGAATTTTCTCCAGTCCCACCTGGTCCCACAGTCCCGCAGCCACTTATAAAATAATCATTCAGAGGCTTATATTCATTACCAAGTGTATGGCCTATGCCAGGCTTCTTGCTAGCTAGCTCTTATAACTTAACCCATTTCTATTAATCTATAAGTTGCCATGTGGCTGTGGCATTACCAGTCTGCTGGCATCTCACTGCTCCTTTGGAGGTGGCTGGTGTCTCTCCTCCTCTCCTTTCTTCTCTCCTTGTATCTGCTTGGATTTCCTGCTTGCCTCTAAGCTGCCTTGCCACAGGATAATGCGGCTTTATTTACCAACCAATCAGAGCAACACATATTCACAGCATACAGAAAGACATCCTACAGCAACTTGGACCATAGGAAGGATTTATCTCCTGAGCCTGACACCCGGAAAGCTTTCTCTGAGCCTGAAGTATTGCAGTCCTTGAAATGGCTGAGCTCATAGCAATAATACACATCACATAGGACTTCACCTGTTCCCCACAGATGAGCCACAAGTTCACATGACTTGTGAACTACAATTATCTTTTAACTACGAAATTGTCTTGTGTTTAGGCCCTGCTTGGGAGCAATTATATGAGTGTTGCACTTCCCCCCAACTTTCCATTCCAGTCTCCGAATAACACTGGATTTCCAGGAGTTGGCTGTTCAGTGTTGTAGTTTGGATGAGGAATGTCTCTCACCATCCTGGGCAATGGAACACTTGGTTCCCAGTCACTGGTGCTCTTTGGGGAGGCTTGCATGGTACCTCCTTGCTGAAAGAGTACATCACTGGGGGTGACCTTGAGATGAAAAGCCTCTAGCCTCTTGCAGTCCACCCTCTCTGCTTTGTGCTAGGATAGAGGTTGTGAGCTCTCAGCTTCCTGATCCTGCCGCCCCTACCATCGTGGATTCCTTTCCCTTTGGAACTATAAGCCCCAAGCAAACCCCTCCTATAAGATGTTTTTGGTCATGATGTTTTATCACAGCAACAGTAACTAATACACCAGAGTGATTCCAGGCCACCAGAGACTGATCCAACAAGGAATAGTCAAAGCTTGGAGGGATTGAGGAAGTGAAATTAGATCACCCCTCCTTAAGAGACAGGTTTAGACTCCCTTTATCCTTGAACAAAGCACCCAGGTCCTGTCAAGTGGCCACCTCTGTCACCGGGCTCCAGGGAACCCTCCTTTTCTCAGGCTCAAGGATTACAATGTCTTCTACCCATTGTTCATTTATTCTTTGCAAGTAATTGTTAAAAATCCTCTGAAATTACTCCCTTTGTGTGGTGGTCCAGGTCCCTGCCTGCTGTGATAGCTCAGGCAGGCAGCCTACCTGCAGAGAATTTGATGACTCTATTTCTCTATCTGGTATGGGGCAGCTGGCTGTTAGTACCACAGAAGAGCCTGCTGGACATCTCTCTCCAATTATGTGTTCAGTGGAACTATGCTGCTGGCTTGAAAGTCATGATGATGGGATATTTACACCACAGAAAACCTTTGATTTCTTTTTTCTTTTCTTCCATTCTCCTTTATCTGTCTTTCCTTCCCTTTCTCCCTCCCTTATCTCCCCCCCTCTCCTGCCCTCCTTCTTTCCTTCCCATCATCTAGTGTTTACTGGAGGTTACCTTTCTCATCCGGGGTACAGGAAGCCTTAGAAGCAGCTCAGACTTGGTAAGAAGGGGCCCTGCTGAACTGGAGCTAAAGTCTCTGGTGTTGAAAGCTTGGCCTCATGGGACTGAAAGTTGGCTCTGGAAGGAGGGCGCTCCAGCCAGCTGGTTCTCACGGGTGGGGGCAGGGGATATGGGTTGGAAGGCATGCACACCGGATGTTGCTGCGTCTGTGAGAAAAATGATCCCTGCTGGAGGAGAGGACTTGCTTGAGGGAGGTGACCCAGGATGGGAAACAGACAGGAAGACACTGTGTGTGTGTGTGTGTGTGTGTGTGTGGTGTTACACATTCACGTGGGTGTATACAGGTGTGAGGGCAGGTGTGTGCACATGCACACAGAGGTCAGAGGTTGAGATCATGAGTCTTCCTCAACCACTTTCTAACTCAGTTTTGAAAGAAGTCTCTCACAGAACCTGGAGTTCACCAGAGTGGCTGGCCAGTGACACCCAGGGACCCAAGCCTCTCCTTTCTCCCTTCCCCCACCTTCCCTCCAGCACCGGGGCTGTGTAAACATAGCACTGCTCATGGCTTCACTGGCCCAGCCTTCTCCACAGCCCCAAGGAAGGAGCAAGTTTCTTCCTCTGTCCTAGTCTTTGGGTTCTTTGTAGTTCACTCTGTAGTCAGAGCCTGTTCATGGAGCCTCCAGAGAACTGAGAAGACAATAATAAATGGTTCACCTCCAAATTTATAGTGATGCACCCCTGAAGAAGGTGTCTCAAGGGTGCATGCTGTGTGACCCACAGTCTCCTGGAACTCTTCGATTTTCTCGGTAGTTCAATGGAACAGATTGACCTTAGATGAGTGGGGTATGACAGGTGCTGTCTGTGCCTCTGGCTCAGTAGCTCAGGGAAGGATGCAGGCACTGCTGGTCTCTAGATGAAGTCTGGAAACACGGGTTCTGGTATCAGCAACAACGACAGCAGCCAACAGGACGGATCAACTCTGCTGCAGAGGAAAGGCCGTGATTTCCCTGGTTTGCTTGGTAATAAACCCCAAAGCTCTGAGCACAGCCTTACAGCTCCTACCTAATGACTCTTTACTCTTCCTGAGGTCGTACGCATCAAATCTACCTCCCCTGAGACAGCCTCTCACACGGGAAGACTCACATGTTTGGACACTCTTCTTTCTCTCTGTCTTTCTCAACATTTTTGGACAGTAACATGTTAAGACCAAGAAATTCTAAGCACAGGTTGATTATTTAAATGCAGTGTGTATTCATGTGGTGTACATGGTGGCAGTGGCGGTGGTGGTGGTGGCAGCGGCGGCGGCGGCGGGTGTATGTTTTATGTGTGCACCCCTGGAACATAATGTTGGGAATCAGATCTGGTTCCTCACACATGCTGAGCACATGCTCCATTGCTGAGCCACACCCCTAGCCCCAGATGAAATCTTTAGAATCTAGGGTTGTTTATGTTTGGCAAAGCATTCCTGGCAAATTACCAGAGAAAGAAGTCACAGCAACCTCTTGTTATAAATAGTTATGGCTGAAAGAAAAGGGAACCAACCCGAAAAGAAAGGGGAGTTAAGCCATGTGCTTCAAATTCTCACCCATCCTGGAAGAGGGTCTTCACCGATGAGTCTCGAAGGATCTCAGGGTGTCGTCACATTGGATTTAGGGTAGATTAAATCCAGTCACTAGAAGCCTTACCACGGGAGTTGGTGATCCTGTGAAGATAGAGGAGACTTGTGTGAAATGTCACTGAAGAAGTGACAGTGGTTGGCAGGAGTTAGAAGAGGCAGAAAGGACCTCTCCCTGGAGCCTGTGGAGGGAGAGCTCAGTGTCACCAACAGCTGGCTCAGATGTCTCACCTGAGACCTGGGCTGGAATAAACCCTTTAAGGCACTGTGTTATGGCGGCCATAGGGAACTCATGCAGGGGCAGTTGAATTCCCACTCAATACCAAGGTGGGCTTAAGGAAGTGGCAGAGACAAAGGCCATTAATCCCACAGGCCATGCAGGACCCCCCCACTAATGCCTGCCTCGTCCCTGGGACTGGCCAAGAAATCTGTGGAGTCGTGACTTACCCGTCCACATTCCTTTGCACCATTTTTCTTTATAATAAAACCCAAGTCTGCTCCCACCCAGCAACTGCCTGTCCCTCTTGATGTACCCATCAAATCTGAGGCGAGAAGAGATTGTCGTGTGTTCTCTCTCCAGTTTTCATCCCTTCCTTTCAGCCATACCTCTCTGTTTCCTTCCCATGAGCACCCAAACTCCTCCCCTTTGAATGTGTCCACTTCTTTCCTTTTCCCACTTTTCCTGAGTATGTATATGCATGTTTGCATGTGTGTGAGCACACACGCTTGTGTGTGTGTGTGTGCGCGCGCGCACGTGTATGTACATGCTTATGGAGACTGTCAGGAATCATCCTCCAGTGCTCTCCCACCTTATGTAGTAAGGTAAGGTCTTGCGGTCAAACCCAAAGCTTGCTGATAGAGCTCTTCTCCTAGCTAGCTAGCTCTGGAGAGCTTCACCTTCTGAGGCTGGAATTGTGGGGTGACCACTGTGGCCGCCAGAAATGAAGTTCTGGAGGTCCAAACTCCAGTCCCCAGGCTTGCTTGGTAAGTGCTTAATACCTAAGCTGTCTCCCCTGCCCACACTCCCTCCAGGTATGGCTTGATCTCCACAGGGGCTGAAGCCATTGCTATTCCACCTCTAGACAGTGAGCTGGGGATGCTTCCCCTGCGGCTCACCATGGCCTGCTGTGTGTAAGGGCAGAGTGTCCTGAGGGCTCTGTGTTAGTCACTTCCCTTGTTGCTGTGACAAAACACTCGAACCAAAGTGACTTGAAGGCAAGGTTAATTTTGGCTCACAGCCCAAGGGTACTGTCCTCGAACATGGTGACAGGAGCTTGAGACAACTGCTCACATTGCGTCTGCAGTCAGAGACAAGGTGACGAGTCTTGATGCTCAGGTGTCTTTCTCTTTTTTATTTAGTTCCTAACCGCAGCCCACGGAATGATGCCACTGTCGTTTAGGGTGGACCTTTCCACCTCAATTAACTTCATCCAGAAGACGCTTCAGAGACAGGCACAGAATTTGTCTTCTAGGTGACTCTGGATCCCACCAAGCTGACAATCATGATTAACCATCACAGAGGCTTTCAGAGAGAAGGCAATCTGGTGCAGAATTCCCCTGGATAGGCAGAGAGAATGGAAGACCAGGGCTCCAGGGCTCCATAACAACTTGGGACTAGAGAAATATTATCTTATGTTCATCAAAGGAGGAGAGAGACCCCCAATTCCCCAGGAAGGGTTAAACCCAACCAATATAATCTGTAATGACAAACCAAGCCAAGTATGGTGGCACATGCCTTTAATCTCAGCACTTGTGAGGCAGAGGCAGAATTCTCTGTGAATTCAAGGGCATCCTGGTCTATATAGTGAGTTCCAGGTTACCCACGGCGACAGAGCAAGACCCTGTCTCAAAAATACAATCTGTAATGGCCATCTTTGGGTGGGAGAGGGTGAGGGCATGATGTGAACATCATTAAGTTGGCTTTAAAACAATCTTAACATTTGTTCTCAGGGCCATAGTTACCATGAACATTTGTGCCAGGTGCCGGACCAAGCAGGTCTCACGAAATCACCCAGCTCTGCAAGCTGGTATAGTTAGCCCCATCCTACCGCAGAGGAAACAGGCTCAGGGACGGAAAGTGAGTTTTCCAAAGCCACACATGGAACAGAGATCGGAGTATGATTTGAACAGGTTTGTCTGACCCTGAAAGTCAAGTTCTTGACAGCACACTGCAGTGTAGCCAACCTGCCCACCCAGAACAAAGATGCAGAAAGTCCAAGTGTCACACACCTTGAGAGAAGACGGCTCTCAAGGCTCCCTTCGTCCCAGGTACCAGTGCGTCTCCCCCCAGCCAGGCTCCAGCCATGAACTTCTGCGTCTCCTTTCAGGCCAGCATTCAACCTTCTTACCCTGACTTAACTAAGTCAGCCCAGCCAACGAAGGCCTGGCCTCCAAGCTGCCCGTATCGGACCCCAGGCCATTCCTGGTGGTGACGTGTTCCATCTGTGATCTGATCTCCTTACCTGTATTCCCTACACCCCATCCTATTCCAGTTGTCCACAGAGGAAGGCCCTGTGGCCAGCATGGTCTTCCCTCATGCTTGCAGAGCGAACTTTTACCATCACCCTAGTCCCTGAAACAAAGGTGTGCTTGGTTCTTTTTATCCCCAAAGCCTGGGTATACCTTCCTCCTGTACTTCTTCTCATGTCCCTGCTCAAATGCTCCAAGTCCACTGTTTAAAAAAAAAAAAAGTGTGTGGTGGAGGGTGTGGGGGCTAGGAGAGGAATGGGAGGTGGGTGGGAAATGGGAGTGGATTTGATGAAAACATCATGAAATTTTCAAACAATACAAAATTAATTAAACATGGGTCTCAAATCATTTATGCAGTTTGGAATCTTTTCAATAGGCGCTTGGCTAGAGGAAATATACTACCGATTCTGAGTCCCACCTCCTCACAGATAGACTCATCACAATCGTTGCTCTTCACATGAGCACATGCCTGTGGCAGAAAGCTGAGATTTTTATTCCCCCAGCCTACATGTGTCCTTGCCAATGGCTACCGATGGTCACCTGGTTTTCGTCTGCGGGGAGCTCTTGAGTGGGTCTTCTGTCCACTCACGGCGTGTCCTTTGGAGACTCACATAGCCTTCTGCTGTCTCGTTTTGTGGCTTTGTGCAGGCCGGATTAGAGGAGGGTGGAGGGTCTTCTTGGCTGAGCTCTTCTGTCTCCGCTTGCCTGCTGTTTGTGACGGGCCGTCCTTACCACTGGCTCCCTTACAAGTTTCTCGGTGGAGTATAAACGGAGCGGCAGGGGGGCCCTGGGATGAGCTGATTCTGTTGACCCATTTCAACAGTGCTGGGGGCCTGTTTCTGGTCTCCATTGCTGCATCCACTTGCCAGGTAGACTCAAGCTCTGACTCCCTCAGGTGCCTGTCCCGGGGACTCAGCGGAGAGACAAAGACAGAGCCGCACAGCTCTCATTAATCCACGTGGAAATAAAAAAAAGGATTTGGATGCCCAGACACAGGGACCCCTGGGAAAATGACAGAAACAAGTGTCGTTTATGTGCATCTGGCTTTCCGGGGGTGGAGGTGGGATGGAGATAAAGCTTTAAGTCTTTAATAAGGCTAGAAATTAACTTGGGATTAGCAGCGAGATGAAGCATCTCCAAGAAGCTGCACAAGGACACACCTGCTTGGGGCTTTTTGGCCTGGTTTCCAGAACATTCTCTAAAGTGTTACTGCTTTCCTCCAGCTTTTCCCAGGTTGAAAAATTAGTCATTGCCCGTTGGTTTCAGGTCCACAACCTGCTCTGCAGATGGGCTCCGTTTGCTTCCAGGGGTACTGCTTCCAAAGCTGCCATTCTGCAACATTTCCAGTTTCTGCAGTTTCACAGGAGACTGGAGATCTGGCCTTGGCCTGTGAAGTGTGGAGGAAGAAGCTCCCCACCAAAGGTGAGCAAGGACCCACGCCCTGGGCTGGGAGAGGTGAGAGTGGGGGTCAGTGGGTGAACATTTTGCTTTGATCTCTCAAAGTTTCTGGAGGCTGGAAGTTCAAGATCAGGGTCCAAGCCAGGTAGGTTTCATTCTGAGACCTCTTGCCTTACAGGCTATTTTTTCATGGGGGCGGTGCCGGGCAGAGACACACAGAGAGGCACAGATACAAAGACACATACACATTTAGACAGAGGGACAGAGAGCACGCGTGGGAGGCTGAACTTACATCTCTTCTCCCAAGGGTGCTCAGGAGATGGCTGCACCAGGATGGTCCTCTGTGGCCTCATTTTAACCTGAACTACTTCCTTTCTCCAAGTACAGCCACACTCGGGGGCCCGGCGTCTCCATGCTGAGTAGTCACACATTCGGTCTACAACAGGCAGTGAGTCGGAGCAAGGGCTTGAAAGCAGGTTTATGGGCATCCTATGACAAAAACCAAGTATTTCTGCCTGAGTGCCTGGCTGGTAAGACTTAGGCACCGCTAGACGTGGTGGTACATGTCTGTAAGCCCAGTGATTGGGCATCTGAGGCAGGAGGGTTAGGGCCAGCCTGGATTACACAGCAAGACCTCATCTCCAAACAAAACAGAAAACAACAGCCTCCAAACCTGGCACCTGAAGCAACACATAAATATCCTACCATAGACTGTTTACTGTTTTTATATTTAGCATGATTTTTCTTTTATAAGAGAGAAAACACTAAAAATATAGACCCACTAGCATCTCTCAGGAGTAGGTAAAAAATGGTAAACATGGGCCAGGGAGATGACTCAGCAGGTGTCCCCAAGTCTGAGGACCTGAGTTCTCTCTGTAGGACCCACGTGGTGGAAGAAGGGAAGTGACCCCTGCGGGTTGTCCTCTGACCTGCGCATGTGCACTGCGGTGTGTGTGTTAAAACAGAACAAATACCGAACAACAAACAACCAACGAAAACGCACACAGGACCGCTGGGAGAGGGAGAATTAGCCTTTCCCTTCCTGGCTGTCTGCCGCAGAGCGCTCAGCCTCGAGACCATCTATACACCACCAGCAAACATTACCTCCAGCAGGTTCTGTTACATACGCAGGTCTATGTATGTAACAAAAACGATCGATGAAAAAGAGGCTGTCAATTTGAGAAGGGAAGACATGGTTGGGGTTTGAGGGAGGGTACCTGGGAGGGACCGGTGGGAGGAAAGAACAGAGTGATACAATTTATTTCAATTACAAACATATATTTAAAAAAAAAAAAAAAAGCATGATACTTTCTAATTAAAACAAACAAACAAAAAAAATCACCGTTACTCTTTGCTGGTGGATATAGAATTGCCCCGAGCTTTTGTGCTTGAACGTTTGTTTTAGTCTTGAGGCAGGGTCTCATTGTGGAGCTCAGGCTGTCCTTAAGCTCCATCCTCCTGCCTCAGTCCCTTGACTGCTGCGATTACAGGCATGAACCATCAAGCCTGGCTTCTTCAGACCTTTCTGGAGAGTCATTTATTTGGTAATATGCTTTAAGAGCCTTAAAATGGGCTCCTGTTTTGCTGAGCTGTCCTGCAGGGTTTACTCCAGGGAGGCCATAGGCGCATGCTTGGCCATGCTACGGAGATGTTCGTGGGAGCATATTTGTGTTGCAAAACACTGGAAATAGCTGATTTTCTATTAAATTGGTTAAAGTAATTAGATATTCCTCATTATGGAACTTGAAGCAACCTTTGAAACTCAAGCTGCAAAAGCCTGGCTTGGCAACAACACCTTCCTGAATGCCTCCATTCAGGAAGTTCTTTCTCCTCCCCCCCCACTTCCCTTTTATTCTCTTCTTATCAGTTAGCATTAAAGATAACCCTAGAAGCAGCAAAATTGCACTAAGAAAAGTCAGCTCTTGCAAGTATGTTAATTTGATGGAGAATATGGCGGTTTGGGGGGAGTGCACTATTAGGAGGCGTGGCCTTGTTGGAGAAAATACGTCACCATGGAAGCATGCTTTGAGGTTTCATATATGCTCAAGCCATGCCCAGTCAGACAGTTCAGTTCCTGTTGCCTGCAAGATGTAGGACTCTCAGCTACCTCTCTAATACCATGTCTGCCTGTACGCCGCCATGTCCCACCATGATGATAATGGACTGAACCTCTGAACTGTAAGCCACCCCAATTAAATGCTTTCCTTTGTAAGAGTTCCCATGGTCATAGTGTCTCTTCACAGCAACAGAAACCCTAACCAAGACGGAAGTTGGTACCAGGAACTGGGTGGGGGTATTGCTGTGATAGTCCTGACCATGATTTTGTTTGGAGGAATTTGAACTTTGGGAGTTGGGGTTAGGAAAGCAGTGGAATACTTTAAGCACTGCTTAACTGGCCGTATACCAGTAGAGGCATGGAAGACAGTGGTGTTAAGAGTGATTTGAACTGTGGGGGGCTGGGTCAAGAGGTTTCAGAAAAGAATTTTCATATGTTGCCTTAGAAATCATTCTTGTGTGGCCAGGTGGATGGGTTCTGGGCAAGTCCATACCCAAGTTCTTGGGAAATGGCCTAGAATCAAGCATGGCAAGAAAAACTGACACTTTATTGCATTTCCCACCCATCCAATCAGGGGCAAGCATACATCCTGAAGTACCTCCAGCCTGTGAACCTCCCACCCACCTGTGATCAAGCACATCTGGTAAAAATGGGTCAAACAAACTTGTTTAGGGCAGTGAAGATGTGTGCCTTGTTATCTCCCATAAACAACAGCCTCCAGCATTTCAGGAACTATCCGTCCTTGGGCAAGCAGCTTGCAGATCAGAGGCATTTTTGTTTCGTGGATCTCTAAGGCACAGTAATTAAAACTCAAAATGTAACTTAAAAATTGGAAAAAAAGGGAGTGGTGACCTCAGGGTAAGATCCCAACCAGTTAAGTTTCCAACTTGTGAAGAGAAATTAAAGAAAGCTTAAAGAAAAAGTTTAGAGCCCGTAAAGAAAAGGTGTGGTGGTTCACGGCTTTAATCCCAGCACTCAGAAGGCAGAGGATGGTGGATCTCTGAGTCTGAGGCTAGCCTGGTCTACAGAACAATTTCAGAACAGCCAAGCTTAAGCAGTGAAGGACAACAGAAAGCTGGTGAAGATGTAATTGAATGAGGGGGCCATGTTCCAGCCCCAGAAAGCAGCAGAAGTTGGCATCTTTGGACATGTGGTTCTGGCTTTAGAGTCAAGGATAGCAGAAAGGCATTATGAAACCTTCCTCTGTGGTTCAGGAATGCCAATGAGAGCAGGCATATGTTGGGGTGTCCCTGTGAGTTCTACATCCATTGTGCCAGGCTATGGCCAAGGCTATTGGTTGCTCTCCACAGACTGATGGTAAGGCCCTATTGCTGAAGACAACATCTGCACAACACACTGAACACAGAGAGGTCACGCTGGTGCCGACATGAAGCTTTCACCCCTGCAGGCTAATATTCATGGCACTGGAAGGAACTTTGCATACCACCACACGAGAAAGGTCAACGCCAAACCAACTACAAACCCCTTGATCTGCAATGGTGACCTGCCTGTAAAATACATTGGTGCAGTAGTAGCACAAAGTTTGTGGGAGGTCCAACCAAGATCTGACTGGATTTAAGGCCTGCTCCACGATGTGGAACCACATACCTGACATTGCTTGGGCGATGAAGAACCTAACAGTACAGAACCCAGGGACCTAGAGAAAAACCAAATACTCCTGCTCTGCTGAAGGGACGCAGCAATAAAATGACTCCTAACAACATCCTGCTGTCGTCATAGATCAATCAGTGTCTTACTCAGCCATCATCCAAGAAGCTTCCTCCTGCAGCAGCTGGGAACAAATACAGAGACCCACAGCCAGACAACGTGTGTGAGAGAGACCTGGGAACACTCGGCCCTAAGTGGGATGTCTTCATCAAGTCCCTCACCTCAGAGCTCATGGAACTTTGTGAAAGAGGAGGTGGGAAGAGCCGGAGACGCTGGAGGACACACAAGGCCTTCTACAGATAGTTTTTAGACATGTCTGAAACAGCTGCTGTCAGCTGCCCCCATCATTTTCTCTTTTACCATCTCAGGTCCTTTGCGTAGACACTTCATAATCAGCTTATCCGTTTTTGCAAAACTCCCTCTTAGAATTGTGGCTGAGATGGTACTCAACCTGCAAACCAATGTGAGGAAAGCTGAAATCTTAACATTCTGTTTCCCAATGCATGGGCATGATATATCTTCTCATTCATTGAAGACATATTTAATTAAACCGAACGATAATTTGTAATTTTGAGGTAGGCAAACTTGATCTAAATAATTCATCATTAAGACTCTTCCCAGGTAATTCTAGGTTGTGGCAAGTTAACATTTAAAATCAACTGTCACACCAGACCCAAACCAAATCTTCCAGCACCTGGATACCTGTTGCTTATAGTAACACATGTCTTTGCCAACTCTCTATTTATTAAAAAAAAATTCCTAAAATGTTAACATTTTTATCCCGAGATTAAGAACAATCTTTCCCTTTACAATCTGGTGAGCAAAACTGTTTATGAAATGTGCCACTTGAGTTGAGGGGAAAAAATAAGAACTCCTAGGATCCCTCAATAACTCTGACTCTTGCTATCTGCCTCTTACTACCAAGTTCCCATGCAAATGCCAGCCTCATGCACCTCTGTGGTCTTGGAGTTGATTCATGGTGTGTAAGGACATTTCAGGTCCATCTCCCTCCTGGGCTGAAGTGGACTCCCACCTCCCACGGTAGAGGATTCTGGTTGCATGAGGAGCCTCTTTTCTTAGTGTGTTCTTCTAATCAGCTTGGGAAATCCGATAAAGGGCTCATCTTGCTCAACCCCAAAGTAACCTGCCTTGGGAAACTAACTCATCCCAACGGCCATCAGCCAGGAAGCAGCCCGGGCTGGATGCTGGATGCTTTGACATCGCTTCTGCCCTCGCCTGCCCTGGAGTATAAGCGGGGGTGTCTTCACTGCTATTTTCCCCACCCTTGGCAGACAAGCCAAGCTGCGTGCCAGGCTCTGTGTGATGGAGTGCATCCACACACACTCAAGTTTCTTTTGGGTACTCAGAACTGAAAGAGGCC